TTTTCTTGAGGTTAATTAGAAAAAAATTTTGATAAGTAAAAAATAATAACCGCCATTACTTTTGGCTAGGACTGTATTTATTTTTAATTACAGATCTAACACTGCTTACAAAATTTTCTGTGACTAGACGATTCGAGCCTATAACACTTACCTTATTTCGACATTTCAAAATTGCTTTGGTGATTCTTCATATTCAATCTGTTCATCAGCTCAATACGCAATCTCATTATATCGATAAGTCAACAGAAAATTTTGGTTTAAAATCATTTGGTTTGAAAATCTAAACAGAAAGTCTAATCAAAGTAATGATTTATGATTTTTTTTTTCGAATATTATTTGCAAGCTACTCAATTCAAGACGATTTTTTTGCAGACAAAAAGGTTCATATTTATAAACGAAGAGAAGGTTGTTGAAGGTTTTAATTAAGTAAAAATGATGCAAGGTTATTTAATAATTATCAAGTACTGGCTCAAAGTCAGCGCAGCTAATTATCGCGAAATCTCTGCGTCTAAATAAGAACTATTCTAAGGGAAATTTCAAGGAATTTCTAAACTAAAGGGATCAATGCCATCTATCGATCAAGAATCTTCCCTTTTTTATTTCAATCCAAGAAAAAAACATATTTCGGGATTTTGACATTTCGGGTTTTAGGGTGTCGGGATAATGAACCATCGGGATTTTGAGCTGTTAGTTCGAACCAAATCCCTGTTCTTAAACTTTTGCATTTACATCTATTCCAGTAAACGTTATTTTAAGAGTAGACTCGTTTAAAAATTTTTTTGATCTACATAAGGAATTATACCAAAATTTAACTAACCTTGGATTAAATTGACAGAATGCTATTATCATTAATATTAGCAATATTCATAATAACAAAATGGACAAAATGGGATTAAAAATCACAAATAAATTCCTTCTCTATGTAAAAATGAAAATGGAAATTTCCAAAGTAAACTTATTTAACATTCAAATAGTTTTTAAATTTAATGTTATTTAATCATTTCAATTAATGATTTTGATTTATGCTGTAAACCCCCCAAAAAGCGAATAATATTGTTATGAAAATTAAAGTTCAAATAAAAATTATAACAAAAATAATTTTGGCTTTAAATATCAAGTGATAAAATTGCAAATTTTATTTAGTGGCATTGTTAAAATAATGAAATGATTTTACGTGATAAGATTTGCATGATAATAAACTTTCCAAAGCTGCCAAATACCAATTTCTGGAAAAATGTATGTATTCGTAGTTTTTGTTAAAATACATTCTTCAATCAACTAATTTTATTCATTGTCAGTTTGTATTTTATTTCTTTTTTTTTAATGCGAGCGAAATTATAATAAATTTTGTAGAAAGCACCTAATATATCATACTACATCAAAACAATAATAATTATACTAAATATTAAAATAAAATTTTTCTTTTTCTTTATTCTAATATCTGTCTGATTCAACAATAATATTGATTAAGAATATAATATGTATGCTTACTTGTCGAAGAAAATTTTAAATAATTCTTTACTAAATATTTCATTGAGCCAATAAATCGTGTCTGTTTAACGTTGAAAGAATACAAGCAATCGATATAGATATACTCCAATATAGCAATTTTTAACAAAATTAATTGTAAGTTGGAAAAGATGATACTGCTACGGAAATTAATAAAATTTATAATTGTTCTATCATGTTCCATTAGTCTCGGGGCCTGGTCAATATGCCATCCGGCCATTATGATTTGAGGACAAAAAGGCCTCCAAACAATTAGTCCTTGCTGGGTTTTTAATATAAAAGAGGTGGGATTTCGCTTTAGTAGAAAAAGCATAATAACAATATATAATGTTAGTATAACGATTCGCATATATCTTCTTCCATTTTTATTTGTAACGATAATGAAAGAATATAATAAATTACGTATCTGATCGTATAGAGTGCCGACGATTGAGGAAATGCCTTATTTACGTGAATTTGTTTTAGATTTCATTTGTTATTAATAAAAATATTTAAAAATTTCTTTTGTTTATAATTGATAAACGTCCCAAATTGCGTTAATGATTGATCTACAAAATTATTAATGTTAATTCAATTCAATTCTAATTTTACAGTCGAAATCCTTCGTAGTGTTACAGTATCATAATGTACTTTATTTGTATACAAATATTGTTTGGTAACATTGCCAAAAATTTGTTTCCTTTTTTTTCAACAAGAATATGAAAGGAAGTTCAAGCAAGGTAAATAACGATTATTAAATAGAACTTTATAAAATTTTTCGCTTTAAAATTATAAAGATAATTTAATAAACAGAACCAAAGATTCCTATGCAAGACAGTTTAGAAAAATGAATAGGACAAATAATGTCTTTCTTAAATTAGAAAGGGATGGAACAAATACACCAGACGAAAAGGCAAGGAACTTGTAACGAGGTTAACTGAAATAAGAGCCTTATATGCTCTAAAATTACTTTTTGAAAACCTACAAAATAAATTTTCTTCTCAAGTTTTAGTAGATACATTAAAAAAATTATCCGATCCTTCACTATTTAAACATCATTCAAAAGAGATCATAACTAGATTGGAATTACACATACGAACTTGGGTAGCAGTCTTAGAATTTTGCGATGAAATTCCGTAAATTTTGCTAGTAAATTATAAACCATACCTTTACCAAGAACTATTTGTCCGCAACACAGGTTGTCGGATGAGGATTTGATAGTCTTAAACCAAGTTTCAATCCATCAACTCAACATAAATACGATTATGATAAAAATATTAATAAAAGGCGTAATTTTAATATTGATTTTTATTAATCCACTTGCGAGATATGCTTCATAGTCTACGCGATGATGAAACTTGTTTCAAGAAATTTTAAGAAGAACAAAAGAATTGTTAAAAACAGCTTTAAGTATTTCATCGGGAATTTTATCAAATATAGCACCTGTTCCAAATGATAATTGTTCGATCTTAACAATGCTTATTCATTTACGGCAAGGTTTAAGTTTTAAATATCCAGTGGCGTCATACTATGTAGATTGGAGGATTCTGTTGATAATTCAATATAATCTTTGTTGTTGAATCCAAAGTAATGAAATTAGCAAAAATTTGGAGAAATGATCTTTATGGAATACCTTTGGAGCTACTCGGAGAAAGAATGAAATATTGTCATGGATAAATCCATGTCAGATTCTCAGACAAAATTTGATGAAGTATCAAATAAACTTTCCAAGTTTAGGTATACTGGAGGTTTCTTAAGTGACCTTGCGGGAAATCAGCCTCTTGCGTTTCCAAATACATTATGGTTTGGAATATTAGATCTTGCACAAAATCTCATTCAAAAATCTGCTCATCCAGTTATATATAATCTTTGCTATTATTTGACAATTGAATCTCTCAGTAAAGCTCCAAGTAGTTTCATTCAATATAAAGCAATTGAAATATTGCTACACGTCCAAAATATTAATAATGAATTATTTCAATGATAGAACTTGATTTTGATCATTATTCTCGTAAATTAGAAAATGATTAACAATACTTCCGAAAGATTTCAAACTTTAATCAAACTTGTTCAAGAAAAATGTCACGAAGATTTTAATATACAAAACGATGCAATGGAAAAGGGAAAAGGAAAAGGTTCGGACGAGAATGATGATTTCAAAAACGAACAAACAATAAGTTCTTTTAACATTTTAGATGTTATTGCAGATGAAATGATTTGTCCAATTAGTAACGAACCAGAAGCTCAACTGTGCATTTTAAAATGTCAACATATGATTTCATTGTATAATTTTAAAATTAAAACAAAGAAAATGTCCTAAATGTCAAGAAAGTACTGAAGAAAATATCAAAATTTTATAACAGAATACTATTTACAAAAAGTTATATTCGTATCTTTTTGATGCTGAGCTGAATATATTTTATCTTCAATTGAATTCTGATAATTCAGACGTTGATTTTCTATTAACTAAAAAAAGAAATCAAAGAAATTCGATTGAATTCAAATATATTGCAATCAATATTTCAAATTACCTATTTCAAAAAAGCAACGCCCAGCTCATCAACAAATTATAAAAGAACTAGAAGATAAAAATTATGAGAAAGCTATAGTTAGTTGTCAAGAAAACCTAAAAAGGTTTCCTAAAAGTTATACTATGAGATGTATTTTAGCTTATACATATAAATGCTTTAAAGATTATAAAAACGCAGTTTTTTATTTGCAAGAAGCTATTGGATTAAATGGAATTAATCCAATTGCATATAATATTCTGGAGAAATTTTGTTTAGACAAGGATACTAAACAGATGTAATAATAGAATTGGAAATATTAGAAAGCTCAAATGTTAATAATTAGAGCTCCGAACAGGTCAGGTCAAATCAGGTAACCTGTCAGGTTGACCTGAAATATTCAGGTTAAATTAACAAAATATTGACCTGATCGACCTGTTGACCTGACTATAAAAAATAATAATTCAAATATTATAATAATCATATTAAAATTAAAAAGGATTTTAAATTAATAATAATTTATTAATATACAGTGGCAATCATAAATAATGCAACAAAAAAATAAAATTCTTTAAATTTAAATATTTCTTTCAATTCTAGAGATATCCCCCACCTTCTTTAATAAAATTTTATTTGTTAATACCATTAATTTTCTTATTAATACTTCCAGTTATAAAATAATATGCAATTTGTATAAATCACGCGTTGCATTACTTTTGATTGTTTTTAACATGAATCAGATGATCATTATTGTGCTACATAAAAATTTGTATAAAAGGTATTTTTATTTATTTATTGTTTGATCCCGTGATATGTCACAACTACTTAATAAACAAGTGGCAGCAAAAAAACATCACACGTTCTGATAGGAAGCAGTATTACTGGAAGCGTCTTAGAGAACCACCATATTCAACCTATAGTAAAATTTGGAGGCAGGTCAGTTATGATATGAGGATGTTTTACATGTCGTGATGTTGGTGGTTATTGTAAGGTTGATGGCATCATGAATGCTAACTTATATCAACAAATTCTTCATGAGGATTTAATAGGCACTATCAGAGCACATGATTTTACTGTTAAAGACATTCTTTTTCAACATGATGGAAATCCAAAGCACAGAGCAAATTTAACAAAACAGTGGCTTAAGAGAAACGAGGTGACAGTTCTAGATTGACCACCACAATCCCCAGATCTGAACCCTATTGAACATTTATGAAACAAGGTTGACCGTTGGCTTAGACATCTTCCTGGACAAATTTCAAGTAAAGATGACTTATGGAATAATATACAGCAAGTTTAGAAAGAATTCGATATTGAAACTTGTACTAACCTAATTCAGTCTATATCAGAAAGGATTCATGATGTTATTAAGGCTTGGGAAGGATATACAAGGTGGTAATTATATCCAATTTAAAATATATTTTAAAAAAGAATAATGTTCTGATGTATTAATTTCGGATGTTTTAATTGTTATTTGAG